AAACCTTATAACTCCTCTCCCTTTTTTCAGTCTCATGCCCATAGAATTTATTTTCAACAGAGTAGCCAGAATTATCATTTCAAAATTTATGTCAATTCTTGATACACCTCTGCTCAAAAACCTCCATGGTTTCCCCATGTCATTCAGAATAAAACTCATAAAGAGCCTACAGAGCACTGCAAATTCTATCCTGTGTTGATTTGTGGCCTCATTTCACACTAATTACTCTTGGTTTTTTTCTTTTCCAAAACACAATAGCACACTTGTTCTTCCTCAAACACTCCTAGATTGTCTTTACATCTGAACTTTTAGTTCTTCCTGCCTGGAATGCTTTATCTACAAACATGAAACTGGCTCACTCCTTTATTCCCTGCAGTCGTTCCCACAAAGCAGTGTGGAATTCCTGTCCCATAGTCTCTCAGTGATCTCTACTCTCTCCTTTCCTTTCTTGACTGTATATATCATATTTTAACATGTCCCACTTCATTTATGTGTACCTTTGTATTTTGTCTCTCTCCACTGGAATGTAAGTCCCATCCAGACATTTTGTGTAAGTTTTTTTGTCTGTTTTGTTCACTGTTAAGTTTCTATCGTTTAAAAAAGAAATAGATGTATAGTAACCACTCAAATATATGTGTTGAATGAACAAATCATTAAATTTTGAAGATGACTGATGTTAGCGAGATTTATAGGGTTAATGAAGATCAGAAGAACTTTATAAAAGAACAGAGTGAATAACTTGTTGAAAATCATCTGTGGGTGCCCAGCATGTAGATGGGCATTTAGGTCTAGGACTAACGTCAGAAATCGGAAAAAAGAGGGTAATTCTTATGTAGAAGTGATAATGGAAGCACTAGGAGTGGGTATGATTGACAGGTGAGATTGAGACAGGTGATTGAGACAGAGAAAAGATGAATTGACATTGGAATCAAAAGGCAAAACTTGAACCCATATTTGTTTTTGGCCCACTTGTAATGTTCGACAATATTCTCACTAAGAGTAAACTGCAATGGATAAGGTTTCAAATTTCCCCACATTCTAACCAACATTTGTTATTTTCTTTTTTTTTCTTTTCTTTTTAATCTTATCCATCCTAGAGGGAGTGAAATGATATCTCGTTGTGGTTTTGATTTGAATCTTGCTGATGGCTAATGATGTTGAGCATCTTTTCATGTGTTTGGTGGCCGTTTGAATGTCCTCTTTGGTGAAATGCCTATTCAAGTCCTTTGCCCATTTTATGATTGGGTTGTTTGTGTTTTTGTTGTAAAGTTGTAAATGTTTTATATATATTTTGGTTATTAGATTCATATCAGATGTGTGGATTTCAAAGACATTCTCCAAGTCAGTAACTTGTCTTCTCATTTTTTTGGTAAAGTCTTTTAAAGAACAAAAGTTTTTAATTTTTATGCAGTCTCATTTATTTATTTTGTCTTTAACTGTTTGTGCTTCTGTTATTCTATTAGATAATCCATTGTTAAAAGCTAAACCTGACAGCATTGCCCCTGCATTTTCTTCTAAGAGTTTTATGGTTTTAGTTTGCATATTTAGGTCCTTATCCTTTTTTAATTTGTTTTTGTGTATGGTGTGAGGGATGGGTCCTGTTCATTTTTCTGCATGTGGAAATCCGATTTTCCCAACACCGTTCATTGAATACACTCTTTTTTCCCCATGGAATGGATTTAGCACCCTACGGTCAAAAATCAGTTGGCTATAGATGTGTGAATTTCCTTCTGGACTCTCAGTACTATTCCATTGGTCTATGTGTCTTTTGTTACACTAGTAACAGGCTATTTTGGTTACTGTCTCTGTATAGTATGTCCTCCTACTCTGTTCTTCTCTTTCAACATTGCTTTAGCTATTCAGAGCCTCTTGCCATTCCATATAAAGTTGAGGATTGGTTTTTCTATTTCTGTAAAGAAAGCTATTGGAATTTTGATAGGGATTGTGTTGAATCTGTAGATTGCTTTGGGTAGTATTGACATCTTAACAATATTGTCTTCCAATGCATGAACATGGAACATTTTTCTATTTATTCAAGTCTTCATTAATCTCTTTCTGCCGTGTCTTATAGTTTTCATTGTATAAGTCCTTCATATCCCTGGTTAAATTTATTCTTAGATATTTTATTCACTTAGATGCTATTGTAAATGGAATTGTTTCCCTAATTTCTCTTTCAGATTTTTCATTACTAGTCTGTAGAATCCCAACTGATTTTTGTTTGTTGATCGTGTACCGTGCAACTTTGCTAAATTCCTCTATTAGTTCCAGAAGTTTTCTTGTGGACTTTTTGGGATTTTCTATATACAGAATCATATCCTCCATGAATAGAGATAATTTTACGCCTTCTTTTCCAGTCTAGATACCTTTTATTTCTTTCTCTGTTCACTTAGAATAACAGAGGTAGAAGGAGAGTCAAGAATAAGAGGAGGATATGGAATGTGTGGCTAATTGCCTCCATGAACAACTGCCTCCTTTGTCATGAGACCAGAAGAACTGGATGGTGCCTAGCTACCATTACTGAACATTTTGATCAAAGATTCCATAGAAGAATCCTGATTAAAAGGGGGGAAATGCAGAACAGAATTTCAAATTCTCATAAACTCCAGACTTTCTGGAACCATGGAGGGTGGAGGAACCCCTGAAATTATTGCTCTCAGATATTCCTTAAACCTTAAACCAAAAATATCCCCTGAAGTCTTCTTAAATTGAATAGTAAACACATTGCCATTGAGTTGATTCAGACTCATAATGATCTTATAGGACAGAGTAGAACTGCCCCATAGGGATTCCAAGGAGACCCTGTGGATTCGAACTACCAACCGTCTGGTTAGCAGCCATTGCTCTTAACCACTGCAGTTTAGCTTAACTAGTAATAAAGGTCTCCTTTAAGCTTTATGCTCTTTTAAGAACTATCTGCATGGGATCAAATTGACAATAGCAACTCGAAAGATTACATAGGAACCATAAGGGGCAGTGAGTTTATGTTAAAGAGGGAGGAACAACTCAGAAAAACAAGGTGAGAATTTTTGCACAACTTGAAGAGTGTCACTAAATTGTACATGTAGAAACTGTTGAATTTGTGTATGGTTTGCTGTGTATATTCTCACCAACAGCAAAATAAATAAAATTTAGAAAAAAAGAGTAAATTGCAACTTTTTAAATAACATACAGGAAAATCTCATATTTTTCCAAATTTTTCCACCCTTTTCCTATCTGGATCATATTATGGGTTTGTACAAGAAGTATTCACCATCTGCATGTAAAATAAGCTATCAGTACAAACAATGAAGGGGAGAATGGAGGGTATGGGGGTGAATTAACACAAGGAGAAACCTGTCAGTTTACCAGTAATATATTACTACTGCCAGTAAAGTGGATTGTTTAAAAATAAATCTTCTGAAATAACTGTGATGGAGTTACTAAAACATTTGTGACATCAGCATTTCAGGGATTTAGAATACTAAAAATTAATAGTCTGTAATTCTATAGAATGAGGCATTGTTTGCCACAGTGGGGAAAACAAAAACAAAAAACAGCTGCCATAGAGTTGACTCTGACTCATGGTGACCCCACCTGTATAAGAGGAGAACTGTGCTCCACACAGTTTTCAATCACTGAATTTTTGAAAGTAGATCACCAGACCTTTCTTTTGAAGTGCCTCTGATTGTTTTCAAACCTCCCCAAACCTCCAATCATTCAGTTAGCAGGTGAGCACATTAACCTTTGCACCACCTAGGATTTCCTTGCCATAAGAAAGTGGATATGGAATACTGAAGCTTTCACGGGAATTATTGAGAATATAGCTATGTCATCAATGTTGCAAAGGCCTATGAATCTGAGTTATACTCTACTGTGCTCCTGTTGTGTGGTCTTAAAAATACTCCTACAGTGAATTATTTGATTTAAATATTTCCATGGAACATGATACATATTTAAAAATACTTTCTAGTTGACTGGATGCTTTTTTGTATTTTCCATTGCCACGTACTATAATTGCTAAAACTATCAATAGTGCACACAGTGATTCTAATCCTGCACTCATTACATATTATACTTAATGACAGAAAACACATTTGGCAGTATTTTCAGAGGGTTTATTACTTGCTAGTCACTCTCTCTATGACTTCACTAAGCACATAAATGTATTAGTATTCTCTCAATCCTCTTATAATTAAAATTTTTTGTGGAAATATTAATAACGTTTCAAAAATATTTGTTACATCTTCTTGTAAAATCTATCATGAACACTGCTGACTTTATTTCTGGTTCAAAAGGAGATTTTTTTTTTACCACATTCTTTACATTATCGGCTGGTCGACACTAGTAAGTGGGCTATTGATTTCCTTAAGTATCCAAGTGGGAAACATCTTTCTAAAAATCCAAAATGAATCAGTGGGCTCCAGTTGATTTTTATTTTCTTTTAGTAAATATAAGACACACACCATTGAACAACCAGGCACAAGGATTAAAATTAATGTATGGCTTATTTTTGGACCTGGTCCATGTGGCTTCTAGTGTTATGACATCCATAGCCCATTTTTTCCGTGTTTCATAGTCACTTTTCCATGGTAGATAGTAACTTATTCTGGAAGACATCAAATAATATTGATTTTAGTTATTATAATCCTTATTTATCATTTGAAATGTGAAGCAAGAGGTAAAAATAGTTTTTAAAACATTCCCAGTTTTTTCTCTACTTATATATCATCAAGATTAAAATTTTAATTAGGCCAGATATAATTCTATACAGTATTTATCAGTACTGAAACAACTTTCATGGATTAAAAGAATACTTAGTCCCCCTATCCCTTAACCCATCTTGTTTTGGTATTAATCTGCAATGCATGTGAAATATACTTATTAAACACAAAAGTCTACAATATCTATACATTAGATATCAGTGATTCTAGTTAAGCTTGTTGCACTAGAAAGAATATCCAGTTGTTATCCATTGTTTCAAGAAATAGAATTCATGGGACCTATTTCTCTTTCCCTTTCAGGAGTTGGAATTTTCAAATTTATTTGCTGTTCTTCACTGCATCCATTCATTCTTTGCTGCCAAAGTAGCTTGTTTGGACCCTCTATTTTTAGGTAGTCAGGCTACTTCTTCTGCTGCTGCCAGCTCTGCTGCAACAAGCAAAGCAAAGTATCCGACTTGACACACTGAGCTCTTCATTGTGACTCAGGATGACTGTGTAAGCAGAGTACTCATATTAATCACTCTAGACCCTGGAGAAACCAAGACATCACCAAGTCAACACTGGAGTCAAACTGAAATTTTGGCAGAAAAAAAAAAGATCATACAGAATCTCTAAAACATCTCTATTCTGGAAGATGTCTGTGAATAATCCTACATGAATAGAACATCTTTGTTCTCACTCGATTGATTTGTGTCAGTATACTGCTCTAACCAGAAGTGAGAACAAAGGAATGATTCAAACAGCTTGTAAATAATATAAAAGTTGTAAGCTACCTATAAAAACACTACTTAAATGATTTTTTTTCCTGTTTTGTAGATTATTTTGTATGACAAAAATGTGTTGGGCCAGATCATGAACATATGCCCTATCATTGTATTATGAGTGGCATGAAGAAGGCAAAAAACCACATGGCAGAAAGAACACTAGCATACAAAAACTCTCATCAAAGATGAAGTCACTTTAATTTGCTGATATAAATTTCTCCTGTATTCTCATTCCATGAATTGACACTGGCGCTCCACATTTGTTTATCATTGTAAAACAGTCATAAGAATTGTAAAAGGATATTTGTATTGACCTATGATAGGTGCAAAGGGAAATGGGATATTTTGCTCTCAGTTACTGAGAGTAAATATTTTGTTATCTGCTAGTGTCAACCAACTATTCAGAAAATGTTATTAATTCAGTTACAAATGATAGAGATGTTCATGAACTCTTCATTTTTTCTTTCATTTTAATGAGATTTATATTTCACCTAATGAGATTTATTATCAAATTAAAATTTCACAAAATTTCAGTGACCCCCCAAAAAAGAAACAATATCAACAAATATGGTGTAAGAAACAATTTTTTTAACTATCCTAATTCTTTCCTACCATCTTAATTTTGAGCTGAAATGTCCCTAAAAAACAATCTCACAGGCTATTATTTATATATTATCTAATTACCATTTTTCCATTTTAGTGATATTTTGAGCAGAAAATAAGGTGATATTTGAAAATAAAATTTAGAATCTTGTGAATTATTACATCATAAAAAGTACTTATGTAATGCCAAACTATGTGGATCGTTTTAGTTATCTCAGGAATGTAAACATGGAGAGGACAGAAATTTAGAAGCACTGGAGAGGTACACGCACTAAACAGTTTCCAGGCACTACATAATTCGTTTTGTAACTTGGAAAAGATTCTCTGCTTTCATTATAGCTTTATGGACACCTACTGTTAAACAATCAGCTGCGTATTTAAAAAAAGAAAAACTACTTTTTATTAAAACACATGTTCCCAACTAACCAAACATTGAATGTTTCATTTGAAGATGATCAAGTATCCAATAAGGTAGTTAGATTTTCTTTCTTTCTTTTTTTAATAAGAGAAAAAAAGTCACTGAAGGAGGAAACAAAGTGTTATTTATAAAAGGAACAAATGCCCATTATAAATTTTAGAATATATATATATATATATATGTGAAACGGTTCCCATAATTAATTATTTATTAATTTTGTATCTGATTCATTCTAAAAAAACATTAAATGGAAAAGAAAAAGTGAAGATTCACAATTGTACATAGATAAGATTTTAGTTGGATCTAGAATACCTTATTAAAAGAACTGTGACAAACTAGAAAACAGTTTTTAATATAGTTTATTTTGACCAAAAATGAAATTCATATCCATAATTAAGATAGCTCTTTGGAATCACTATGTATTGATCCAAACTCACTGTTGTCGAGTCAACTGCCAGAAGAGCAAACAAATCTGTCTTGGAAGAAGTACAGCCAGAATGCTCCTTAAAAGCAAGAACGGTGAGACTGGGTCTCACTTACCTTGGACATGTTATCAGGAGGGACCAGTCCCTGTAGAATAACATCATGCTTGGTAAACTAGAGGGTCAGTAAAAAAGAAGAAGACCCTCAACTAGATGGATTGACATAGTGGCTGAAAGAATGGGCACAAACATAGCAACAATTGTGAGGAAGGCACAGGATTGGTCAGCATTTTGTTCTGTTGCATATATGGTCGCTATGAGTCAGAACAGACTCAATGGCAGTTAACAACATGTATCGATCAAACTTAGCAGTCATTCTAAAAACAGAAGCCTATCAAAAGCTGGCTTCACTAGGCTAGTAAAGAACTTAGAGAATGAGAGTAGAAGAAGGTGTCTACCTTAGGATTTTAAGCAGTGGTTGCTGGTTCATTACAGAATTTCTGCTACTAACTGGAGCTGTAACTTAGTGTGCCCCATACTGGGATAATATTAATGTATTCACAGTGCGATAATGTGTCTATAGGAAGATATATTCCAAAAGCCAAACAAAATAAAATAGTTTTAAAACTTAACATAAGAGTAGTAGAATAAAAAAGTGTCATTTTTTTAATTTTCATTTTAAAATATAAAAAACAATTTAATTAAACATCCAAATTGCTAGTCTCTGCTCCTGTGTATGATGAAAGAAAAGGTGCGCTATGAGATATGTATGAGTACATATTTATATATATATTTCTTTTATATCTTAGTACAACATATATATACATATATAAGTACATATATATGTATATACACACATATATATGAAAATTCTCACCATAAATTACATTAGAAAATATATTTCATACATATACATTTAATATATTCTAAAATTACTTTTAAATTTGTAAATTGTAGCTGGAAATAAAAGTCATGGAAATACCATTATTGTGATTATTTTTGATACTATTGATAAAAACAATAGGCTTAAATTAGTATTTAACATGATTGGTGGAGCAGTCACCTATTACAAAAATGTTATTCTGATTTTCATCAATTTAGCAGTTAGTATTTAACACTTTCTTTACAGTGTGATCATTAGTCATTGTCATTTGTTATAACTTGGACTACTTGAATGAGAACATTTAGAAATGAAAAAAATCAGGTAAATCTTTATTTCTCATGCAATTTAGGTTTAGCTGCATGAGATTTATTTATCAAACCCTAGTTTGTACATAGAGAACATTTTAACAGTGGAATGCTTAATTATATTTTAAACCTTCCAGTGCCTTGATACATAGACCGTTCCGTCATTAAAGGCTTCATTTAAGTGTACACAGTGCAATCTCAAAGGGAATATTATAGGTAGTTAGGTCAGAGAAGTCATCCCAAATATCATTTGGAAACTATGCTAACTAATAAAATTAACGTCTTTTGCCTGAAAAAGAGTAACAGTTTAATTAAGCTGAAGTATATAAAAGCAGGGACATTTTTAATTTGTTATATAACAAGTATCTGTTTAAAAATGCATTAATAGATAATGTAAGTGTAATGGTTACCCCAAACTTTACTAACATTTTTTAATAGGAGAGAAAAATTAGCTAATAATTTTTGGTTATAATTTAGACATGTACCAATTACAGTTTTAAAGCCTTTGCTCATAAAACTGTTGTTAAGCAACAAGAAAAGTAATTACCTGAAAATTAATGCCAAGTACATATTAGCCATGAAAGCAGAGTGGTTTTTCTTTGGGTACACTAGTTTACAGATAGACATGTCACTCATTTACACTGGCAAAGCTTGTCTATAAACTTAGTCTGCATTGAATGCTGGGTTTGAGATAAGTTTGATTTATTACTGAGGAAAAGTAATAATCTTAACAATATTTAGAGTTACTGCTGGAAATTAGCAGTGTGGAGAAGCTTTAAAAGCACAAGGATCATATTGTGCTTAACATTTTAAGGTAAGTATCGATGTTTTCATGTTAGTAAACGTCTACCATTTTGTTACTATTAAAACTATTATAGTTGATGAGTTCTCCTTAAAAAATTGCTTTATTCATACCTCTAAAATTCTTGTTTATTATTTATTCCTACTCCTTAATACTTTCAATCCTAATATTACTTATTTTCACATTTGAATTTTATTTTAAACATAACTGAAATGTTATATGTTTTATACAAAAAAATGCAATGAAATACCAGAAATATAAAATGTAAATATATTTATTTCATTTTAAGTTGTTTTGGTGGATATTTGTAAAATGTAAATTAATATCTATGACAAAAACTTGTCACTTTGTTCTTTAATTTTATTAATGTACTAATAAAACTGTACCTTTTTAAATGAAGTATTCTGTAGAATAAAAATAAATACTTTTTAATATGTGTGCATTTTCACTTCTTTGGGTTTGGTTGGTAAATTTCATGTATGTTTAAAGCATAATTCTGAGAGAGTTAACTGCAATGAAAAGGGTTAACTATGACCTGTCTACCATGGTATGCAGACCACTGAGGATATAATCTCTTCTGGTTCAACAATATTGATGAAGATTACATATTTAACCCTTAAAAGATCCAAAAGATTGAAAAAAAATATTATCTGCCAAGTTAATTAAACAACCAAAGAGTTACAAATTTTGAACTTGAGACAGTTTTTTTGATACATTTAACCGGTTACCATGAAGTGGATTCCAACTCATGGCGACTCAGTATGTGCCAGAGTTGAACTGGGCTCCGTATGGATTCAATGGCTGATTTTTCGGAAGTAGATTTCCAGTGCTTTCTCCTGAGGCATCTCTTGATGACCTCAAACCTCCAACCTTTCAGTTAGTAGCCAAGAACATTAGCCTATTTCACACTGGTCTATTATGATCTGACCCTTTATTAAGAGGTTGGACTGACAGGACATCCTTATTGGGTCATTTGAGACTGAGAAGCACCTCATTACTTCATGTAACACGAGACCAAGTTCTCCTTCAGGTATTACAGACTCGTAGAAGGGAATGATCACAAAAATCATTTTAGAGCAATTCTAATATTTATATTCTTCCCAGTGTTTAGATTGCTAAATTAACATTTTTTCTCTTCTCTCATTTTCAATATTTTTGTTTTGGAAAAAAATGACTTTTTTGAAAAAAGTGAATGCCTATCATATTCTAAGCAATTAAAATGAACACAAGAAAAATAAATAGACATTATACAAAATTTCATAATCAAAATAAGAACATTTTCTTATAGATGAATATTATGATATATATATTATTAGTTGATGTGTAAATG